ATCAAGCCCTACATCAGGCTCTCTGCTCAGTGGGAAGCCTGCTTCTCCCTCTCCCACTCCCCCTGCTTGTGTTCCCTCTCTCGCTGTGTCTCTTTCTCTGTCAAATAAATAAATAAAATCTTTAAAAAAAAAACCAAAAAAACCAAATGTAAAGGTGATATGTATGTTAGCTACTATGAACCAACACAAATACCTCTGGTAGTAACCTAATTTCTTTTCATGCTCAATATATTCATCTGTTTAAAAAAAAAAGAAAAAAAGAGATAATTACATTTACAACTTGCAGCATTGCTGTTCATGTTAAGTGAGAATGTGTATGGTTTGACCTAAAGACCTATGAAATCATAGCATTTCCTTACTGCTTTTTTAGCTGATTGCTATGTGTTATATGAATAGACTATACTTTATATCTCACCAATCCAGGACTGCTGTTAGTTTGAAACCGACTTTTGCTATCATAAACCATGTTGAATATATTAACCTGCCCCGTTTCCAGTATTTCCTCTTCTAAAGATAAAGGCTGTTGGTCATTGAAGAGGGCCCAGGTAAACAGCCCATATGGCTATTTTCCATTTTACTAAAGGGACTTGGAAGGGAAAGTAAGGCAGAAAGCCTGCGGAGTGGACACTAGGGCAATCTAATTACTGAGGTCAGGCAGCACATTGCTGGGACCCCTGGAAGGCTGAGTGGCTGGAGTATGGAAAAAATCCCAATTAGATGATTAATTTAGGCTCTGGGTGTGCTTTTTGCCTATGGCCATGGAGTCAGGAAAAGAAACAATTACCTCTCAAATTGCCATGCTGGACCGATTAATTTTTAATTGAGTCTTGTTAAAGGCATGGAAAATTGTGACATATATAACCTAGAGAAATAGTCCTGAGCCAGTGGGAGCCACTCTTCTCCCCACAGGAATCCAAAGATTTAACCAAAAAGGAAAGTGATTCAGATAGAGCCTGGAGGCAGGGGGTGGCAGAGACATGGAGAGGACTTGGCTACCTTGGAGAGAAAGCTGTTCTTCAAAGTAGTGTCAAAAAGACAACTGGTTTTTCTGTTTTCCCTCTATAGCTGGGCTACCCCATTGGGCCATGCCATGCATTGAACTCTTTTTCATATTACTCGTTGTCTAAAATGATGACAATTCCTTAAATCTCATCTCTGTGTAGAATATTCAGATTAGACTGGACCCTAATCCTTTATTTTTCTTTAGCTCTGCACAGCATGAGGAGAAAGAGAGGGAGTGTATCTTACGCTTAATGAATACTCAAGTTGGAAATTTTGGTCTAGGTTGAGAAACAAGTTGAGTATTGGAGGAGTAGAGTGGTAGCATGAAATGACCTTACGGGAATTCAGATTTATACCAGGATGCTGTAAGCCAGGAAGAATCCTCATGTGGCCTCTTGGAGTGTTTGAGTTTTGAGGCATCATGGAGATAGAACTGTTAGTTAAGAGGATCTCATCTGCAATGAACATCAATATGCTAAAGATATTTCACTGTACCTTTTATAGATGTCAAACATTCCTGGTTCCTTGGAAATCTCAGGGATTATTCACAGTGTCTGTGAACAGACTCAATAATAAGCTCAAATCAGCTCAAATTATTTACACTGATCTACCATATATGATTTCATCTAAATAAATCAGGATTATTTCCTTATCAGGCACTTTACTCTTACATCTGATTGGTGTCTTTAATTAGGTACCAAGGAGATACTAGGAAGTGACAACAGGTATTCGTTGTCTTATTTAAATTGCACCCTTCCAAGCCAGGATCAAGTCATTGGTCCAGTAGAAGTTATAGAAGCAGAGTTTCAAAGATTAGCCCAAACAAAATGTCTGAGATGTTAACAATCATAAGTGCTGATGATAGCAGATTATATTACTGTTGAGAGTACTCACTCCCTTCTCTCACTTCCGGGGTGGGGGGGTGTATACTTTCAAGGAAATTCATTTGGGATATAGCCACGTGTCCTTTCAGCTTCATGGTAGGGGAGAGTGTACTTCCCCACCTTTCCATCTGAGCTCAGTCATTGACTTGCGTGGATTCATAGAAATGACATGGTTTACTCACATGGTAGGGTTTCTTCTCTTGTTCCTTCGCCATTGCCATGAGATGATTATGCCCTGGCCAGATGGCTGTTCCACGCAGACACAGGGAGAAGATCCAGACTTAACCTTTGTCTTGGGCTGTCCAGTTGAGCTCAGCCTCGAGCCTCGCCTAGAGACTCAACTCCCAGCCAACCTGCAGATGCATGAGCAAGAATAAATGTTTACCAATATACACTATTAAAGTTTTGTGGTAGTTTGCAGGAAGAGATAGCTGATACACTAATGAAAACAGTGTGGGTTGTATGATGGTTATACAACCCACGTTAGCATTCAGCTCAGGTTTTACAGGCAAATAATAGAGGTTTTAATCATTTAAAGAGAGTATCTCTGCATTTGTGTTTTCTTTGGGATGGTTTGTTTTAAGCCAGGGCTTGCCTTGTGTCCTTGGACAAGTCACCTGGGCCTCTTTATGTCTGTTTCTCCATTTGAGGAAAAAAGATATTACTTGCCACCTACCTTTCCCCAGGGGTCATAAATTAACAGTTGAAAAACTCTTTGAGATCTCCCATGAAAGGTGCAATTTAAGCAGAAGCATGCCTATTATTTATTTTTATTATCCATTTTAAAATTGAATACTTAGAGCAAATAGATTTTCCAGCCACCAAAAAGGAAGTCTCTTCTATGCCACAACATATTATGTATTGGGCACTCTCCAACTATAGACTATATTTCCCATTTATAGCACTAATTTAGATGTTTATGGGTCTGTAAATGTATTCCATTTCTCCTGGGGCTTCTGAATACCTATAAGAGTCTAATATTTTGGAACACTAAATGATTCTTTGGGCAAAGTATAAAATAGGCGAATAAGAAAGGCAGGGAAAGGATTATGTAACAAGGGAGACACTTTTTAAAAAAGAAAATAATTTAAAACTCCCAGAATTACTCTTCAGTATAGTCAGTGTAGTCCAATTTGTAATTATTGTCTCTCCCTCATGTTACAAATTATCATGTTTAGATTGAGCTTCTACTGAGTGTTCAACACAAAACTATTTGTAGAAGAGAATATAACCATGTTAATAGCACACATTTGTACCAGCCTTCACTCTGTGCCAGGCACTGTGCTAGGTCCTTTTTAATAAGAATCCCATTTATAACTCTCCACAACCTAATGAAAGGTGCACTGTTATAATCCTCACTGTAGACACTCCAAGAGGTTAAATCACTTGCCCAAGATCACACAGAGGCGGAATCATGGACTGATTCTAGGTTCTTTTATGGAGTGAGTCCAAGTTCTTCATCATGATGTGGTTCTTGTTTACAAGTTTTAGGGGTGATGAGACCAATGTAAAAAGAGCTTAAGATATTTTAGTATCTATAACGAAACTCGCTGTGATGCCCTCAACATGACTGTAGGGAAAGAGCTGGTGTCCAAGGATATGGACATCAAAGCCTAGTGTGACGTTTCCAGTTTGTCTGCAGCTTTTGTTTATTTTTGCAATCTTTGTTCCAACACTGATGTAGATATTCAAGTTTTCAGTCTAAACACTAATTAAAATAGCCCTTCCTTGATGGGCTATATGGAATTTTCTATGCAGGGATGTACAGTAGAATGGTTACTTAACTATTGTTCTCACTCATAAAGACTTGCCTTTTGTAATTTGAAAGACAGCATTATGAAGACTAGTTGGATGAACAAACATACATGAACACAAAGTTTGGAATCAGAGGAAAAACCACGGATGAGGGACTCTTTCTAACTTGGATTCCTGCACAGGGCCCTAGTTTATGTCAAGCTGTAAAAAGCCAGTCCCTTTTTAGGAACTGGAAAATTCAAATGGCATTTTCAAAAACACCTCCATGTTGCTGAAATCCCCATGTGGAGGAGTAATATTTTCATCACTCTCATCTATCTTATAAAATTTTAGATTTGCAGGGAGAAGAGGTTGCTTCTAGTCATTGAGGTTCTAACATAGTTATGAATAATTCTGAACTTGGCTCCCTGAACAATATGCCCTGGGGGCTCATGCCATTGTTAACTACTCTTCTAGTTTTCAGGGACTGGGCTGAAGCCAAGTGGCTCTGGCTTCCTAGTAGGGTGTGAAATTCCAGCTTTGTCAGTAGTTAGACTGGTATGTACCCCGTCACCTTGAAAAAGGGAAAATCATTTTGAGGAGACATTTTAAACTCTCCTATCAATCAGCCATTTATTAGTTAACATCTCTACACAATGATATATAAAGAAATAGGGGCCTCTACCCCTCCTTGACATTGGTCTTAACATTCAAGTCACTCAAAGCAGGATAAGCCATGCCCTAACTTGGGTTTGCAGAGCAGTCTGAGAAGGTGGATGGAGCCGGGACTGACTCCATTCTTGATCTTAATCCTGTTTCTTTCACTTTCTAGATATGTGATTTGGGGCAAGTTATTCAACTTCTTTGAGACTCAGTTTCCTCAGTTATATAACCTGGGAATAATAACCAAGTCTGCTTTTTTGTGGTGGATGTAATAAAGTCATTGACCACACAGGAAGTGGACAATATATTCTATCTATCTACCTACCTACCTACCTATCTACCTAGTCATCCATCCATCTGCATGCTGTGCTCATCAGCCTTTTATCAAAAGAAGGCTACAGTTAAATAGGGAGGGAAAAATTCACTCCTGATAGTTGTTCAACCCATCATAGAGCATCTCCATTTTTATCAACTCTTCCAAACAGTAAGGAAAATGTATGATTTTAATATAACTGTGTATGTGACAGAATATTTTTTGAGAGTCTAGAGGGTTGTTGTTGTTGTTGTTTTTAATGGCTTCTAGTCTCTCATCTCCTTCCGCTAGCTGGATCTTAATTGGAGAAAGAAATTTTTAAATTATTCAATGACTCATTCAGTGCAAGAATTCTCCTGTATCACCCCTGGCAGATTGTGACCCAGCCTTCGCTGACCACCCAGTGGGGAGCTTTGTATCGATCACACATGAGAACCTCATGGCTAGCATCAAGCATTATAAATTCTTCCCCGTGCTATGCCCAAATCTCCTATAGTCTCTGCCTTTTAGTTGTCTCCATTTTGTGCTCCATAGCCACAAAGAGCCTGTTACCTCCCTAAAGAAAATCCAACCTCTCACAACTAAGGGCTAATGTGGCTCTTAAGAGAGAGGACTTATTTATGTTTCTGTAGAAAATAAGAATAACTTATCCAGATTTCTTTACCAGACACCTCGGTAAATTGTGCCTTCCAAGGGCAGACAGCTAAATCTTGTGGTAGGTGCCAGGTTGTGGTGGTGCCACATTGAAAACCACATGCTTCACTAAAGGGGGTGATCTAATGAGTTTACTTCTCTGCCCGGGTTCCAGCGACAGGGCTATTTGAGTGACTTCATTGCCATCAGTATTGCTGACTAATGCCTGTATCAACACCTACTGCCGCCACCCCGGCACTTCAGTGATTTTACGTTTAGTTTGATTTCTCCAGACAGAACTTTTCCACATCATTGGAACTAATTGAGGTAATGGAGAAATTATTCTGGTGCCAGAACACTCTTACTTTCTTTCGCCCACTTCCCCCCTTGGTATTGAAAGACAACAATGCACACAGTCTCTCAGTGTTTCTTTCGAGCAAGAGGGGGAAGCTTGATCATGTCACCGTTACGCCGAGCCCACGCTTGGACAATTAAGGCTGGAAAACATATCCTAACCTCCATCTTTCTACGCTTCCCAAGGCTGTGGCCGCACAGCCCTGCACGGTCATGGTGCCACGCTCCTGAGCTGCTTCTCATGGGGGGTTTAGGTGTCCCTGCTGCTGTGCTCTGGACTGACCACAGGACATCTTCTAATATTTGCTAAAACAATTAGCAGACAGAAACAAACATTTATGAGAATGTATTCCACCTTAATTATATGCATTGTCTCCCAATGTTTATAGCATCTTAGAGGGAGTTTGGAGGTAAGACTGAGCTGGCCGAATATGGATTTGATTACAGGGATTTGTATCAAGGGTGGAATGGTGCCTTTTTCTGATGCCCCATCCCCCCTGGCTTTGTGTCCCTTACTCGAGAAGGTTGAACGAACCATTCCCTAGAGAGCACAACACACTGAGGAGTCCCTGTTATTGTCCCATGTCAATAGTCAGGGGCTTAATAAGCATTTGGGGTTGAATTTTGGTAGACCACAGTGAGCCTCTCCACCGTCTGGTTTGGATTTAAGGGGCCACTCCATAGTGTGAGATGGTAGGATAGCCTCTCAATGGTTCAGAGTCCTCTGCTTGGTGCAAGAAATGTTGGTTCATCAGCAGGGGTGGGAGGGCAATTAAAAATGAGTGGAAAACCTTCCATGTCTATTTGAGGTTAGAGGAAAGAATCTAATAAATTCTAAATTACTTTAATAATAATATTTAGCTTGCATATTATGCTGGCGTCCCTTTCTCTGTTTTTTCCTTCTCTCTCCAGTTGCTAGTCTTACAACTCTTCCCTTATTGATCTGTCCACCCAAGGTGGGTAGCAGAAATGATGAGATTTAAGCAACAGATTGCAAATCTATCTGCATTACTACTGGTTAGCAGCTCTGGTCAGCATTTGGTTAGAAGTGGCTATTTGAGCTCAGAGCTGAAATGGGTGTTTTACATTACTTGTGGGTTTTATTTCTCCACATCACCTCTGACCCCTTTTGCAAAGTTAATTGAGAGTTGGCCTTTTTCAAATTGACTGCAGGAAATTGACCTTTGTGTTCACGCTATGTTAGGAAAGGCCTGGATGAAGAGCAAATCGAGAGGCAAAATGGGAATGATCTGGCCCTTATAGTCATGCTCTGGCACTTTGTGAAATGATCACAAATTCCCTGGTGCAATCACATGGGCAATGGTACCTCCAAAATTGTTTCCCTGTGGAATCAAGATATAAATCAGAAAATCCCATTTTAATTCGTAGCATACTCTGTTCAAAAATTTAACAATCTGAAAGTCCCTTTTAAATTAATGTCTACTATGTTTATTCTGCTTTAGCTGAAGCCTGTTTCCTCATTTTTAATCACTGATAGAGATAGCTGCTTGAGGCCACTTATACAGCAATCTAACCCTAAGGATTGTCTGTCAGGCAAGCGTATCTGTTACTTGGGGAAGAAGGAAGGGTGATTAGAAGAAAAATGCATGCATTTTGACCTTAACAATCCTGGGTTCAAAATTCGACTCTGCCACT